TATATATATAAAAAAAAAAAAAACAGAGGAATTTTTAACGTTTTTCTCTATAATAAATACGCCCGCAAACTCAAATCAATTAACTTGAACTATAATGCTTAATAGCAGTAATAGCCGCAGTTTTTTTTAAAAATCCCTTTCCCTAGAGAGCGCAACCGGATTTCAGGGAGCATATATAGTCATCCACAGACGGACTGTTTCGCTGTATCACGGCCCCTCAGTGTGGCTAGACGTACGAATGCTTCAAGCCGGGATCGAAACCCGACTGATTTGACACCAGTCAGTTATCTTACCTCTAGACCATCGTCGCAGAAAGGAAGGAAATTTTAATATACGAGATACGCCAGCTGCTCGGAGAACTCAATTCCATTTACTTGAATAGTAATGCTTAATATCATATATCTTTACATATCTATCTATCTATCTATCTATATATATATATATATATATATATATATATATATATATATATATATATATATATATATATATATATATCTGTATGTACACACACACAAAAACATATACATATATATATATATACAGAGCGAATGGGCGAGAGAGTTAGACGCAAAAGATTTTAAAGATAACACTCTATTGGTAGTGGAAGGATGTGACATAAATTTTACGTGATTTTGTCACAGTGAAGTACAACTGGCATGGAAAATGAAAGCATATAAATAGGTAAACTGTTTCAAAACTTACCCAAAAAATAAATATTTGTTTCCACATTGATTATATATAATTTTAGTATAATTTAAGTTTTCTCTCTTACTCTCTCTACATACGAGTTCTGATAAAAAAAAAATGTATCTAGACTAGTGCTATAAAACGAAAACTACAACATATATCAATTCGGCATTTAATCTCCTTCGAAGTAAGCTCCACTTGAAGCCACGTACTTTATTCAGCCGAATTTTCAGTGATAGGATCACTCCTAACATTCCTTACTTATGATAGCGAGAAGCTGCCTCGTTGCATATTCTTGCTTCTATGTATTGAAATATTGCTCCTTTCATGTAGGATTTGAATTTTTGGAAAGAGAAAAAATATCTCAATTGACAAGTTCAAAGAAAAATGGATTTTGTCAGAACTGGGGAATGTTATACTTGGCCTAAAACTGCTGCACAAGCCATGATCGCTGGTAGAAAATGTGATGTGGTAAGACGACCACACTCTACCCACTTTCCTTCAAATCACTGCTATAAACAACGGACGTGATCGAGAGAAGTTATTAGTGGGTATGCGCGACAGAGCTCAAGGTCATGTGTGTTGAGCTGGTTCGCTTTGTATACTTTAGCACCACTATCGTAGTAGCAGTCCCGATACTTTTTGATCGATCTTTGTAGATTACATCTTTGGACAAGGTTTTAAGATGTTTTCACATTGGCGAATCCTTGTGAAATGATACAATGAAAGAACCCAATAGTTCTTACTGCTATAATTTTCTTACAAGTGATATTAATCCACGTTGACCGTACTTATTCGTAATTAGAGTGTAGTTATTATGACCAATTTTTCCACTTCGGTTGATACGCTTGCTTGCTTAGGTCGCCGTAAGTAGACGCAGACAGGCCAGTGTTGGTGTGATAAACAGCGTATTCGATCAGTTACTGAATCCATGAATAATCGGTTTTTCTCTCAGATCGATGATGATTGGAAATGGAGCCAAATTATCATTGTTGGCCCAAACAGAACTTCCGAAAAATTCGGTCCCGGTGCCCGGAAATAGATAATAATGAATCTCATATCGATTAGTATGCGAAGAACATAGTAAGATACGTTCAGAGCTAAAACGAAAAGGTAAAAAGAGTCATTTACAACGAAGATTTTCTTTGTTCTTTTAAACTTTCTAGCCAGATATTATTCGATCATGGGCACATGTCCCAGTGGTTAGAAACGCTCGCTCTCCATCTATGAAACCCAGGCTCGAATCTCGTCATGTTCGATATGTTAGGAAAGTTACTTCCTGATGCAATCTGGGAATGTGATCCTAGACTGTGGCTCCGTTGGAAATTGCCTTCAAAGCATACTACTGTTGGATCCTAGTGGGGTGAGTGGAATTGAACCGACGGAGCTGTTTGGAAGTCGGCGATATTATTCGATCATATCACATGGCCCAATGGTTAAAAACTATTCGTTTTTTGTCCATGAAACTCAGGTTCGAATCTCGCCATGGTCGATAAGTTAGGAAGACCACTTCAGTCAGAGAAGGCCATCCTGGAATGTGGCAACTTTGGAAAGTGCAATCAATGTATACCATTGCTTGATGCAAGCGGTGTGAGTGGTTATTGGGACGACGGAGCTGTTTTCTAGTCGTCGATATTATATGCTCAGTTGTCCGGTACAGGTTTAGAGTTGGGGCAGACGCAGAAATTGCGGGTAACTCGTGAACTGACTGATACGAGACTTGTAACCATCGCCTTTTCGCAGGTCTATCATTTTGCGATCGTTATTAGAGTACTTCCGAAATTCTGAGATGAGGTGTTAACATTATTTACACTTTGACTACCCTCCGATTTGTTGTTATTATCACAGCGTTTCAACCGTTGTGTTCTCTGGCCTTCATCAGGTACTAGTGGATCAGGGTAGCATTCAAAGTTTTTCATACTGAACTCTCTATTAATCTACGGAGTGTAGATTGCCTTCATCCCGCTGTCAACATCTAGAACTATCCCGTACCCTTCTCATTTAGTACTCTTCAGTTATTTCCTAGACTCCTTTCCTGGACAGGGATTGAACTCACAGTTACTATACCGCCAAATTAACGAAACAACACACTAATCTACTTGGCTATTGTCGACAAGACAGATTGCCAACGCGTTTCGTCTTCCGACTTTTTCAAGGCAAAAATGAAATCGAAATGTTTTTGTTGTTATAGTTACATTAAAAAATACAAATTCAAGAAGATAGACGCTTCTGTCTCAGCCTTTTGTTCTGGTTAATGTAAATTACCTTTATAGTAATTTATAGTAAAAAAAAAGTTCCCTTATTATAAAGGTAATTTACATTAACCAGAAAAAGGCTTAGACAGAAGCGTCTATCTTTTTTAAATTTTTTTTTTTTTAATGTAACTATAACAAAAAAACATTTTCGATTTCATTTTTGCTTTGAAAAAGTCGGAAGATTTTTTTCCCAATTGTCATTTTATACCATATATATATATATATATATATATATATATATATATATATATATATATATATATATATACAAATGGTATAAGACGGAAAATAATATAAATTCAAACCTTCACAGCATTAATTCCAAAGTGGGCTCAATACCAGGAGTAAAGGAGTCGTTGTTTATTTAAAACGATTACACACAACGAAGATGCATTTTTGTTTCGAATCAGAGGAGCATCTTCAGCGGGTGAGGAACAAGATGCTTATCTAACCATTTTTTGGTTATCTAGATGGTATTTTGTTAAATTTAATAGACTCCTATGTTTTAATTAAATAATACAATTAAACATAATAATAATAAACCCGACCTGAACACCGAACAGGGAGGGCAAACTTGATTGGCGTCCAAGCCTAATTAGGAGGTCATGGGCAGTGCTTTGAGACCCTCGCTATCTTATCTGCATTTGTTTGTTTTTCCCTACCTTCATTTATATACATTACAAATTAAAGTAAGCACAAGTGACTGTTATTATAATATGACAAATTTGACGTCGTTCTGAAGTCTTTTTTGCGCAAATCCGTGAATTAGTTTTGCTCCTGAGAAGGCGCGAAAAAAAAAACCAAAAAAAAAAACCATTCACTACTTTTTTATCCATAAATGTTGAATGTTATATTACTCAAATTCTAACAAGAAAAATCTCAATTTGATGTTAAAAATAGCCGCAAGACATTGTTGATTTATTTAAGATGGAGTGATCTATAATAACGTCTTTAATTTGTATTAAAATGCATTGTATTTATTTTCATTTTTTCTAGTTGAATTATTCAACTCTATTGCATCCATTTTATATGAATTTTACCTTATGAAAATTGATATGTAGTAGATTGGTTGATTGGATGATTTTATTTAGCGGCATATCAGCATTTCTATGGGTTATTTAATTTTGAAATCTATTTTGTATGCAATTTTCAGCTATCAAAAACAGATATTTTGTACATAATTTTATATTTTCAGGGTAAACGTATGGATTTTCGATATATAGTTACTAGATCATAAAATGTATCTTTGGTAGTTTTACTATAAATGTATTTTTATATATTTTAGAGTTTCGTTGATTGTCATTTTTCTATAAAAATGTATTGTTTGTCATTTTACTACAAAAAATCTAGTATTGATTTTTTTTCTGATGGCTCATTGTTTGTCTATCGTTGGGACTCTAAAAGGTGCTACCATCCGAGATGCAGTAGAGTGTGGGCCCTGTATCATAGATTTGAAGTAAGGGGGCAAGAGACCGTTGCACCGGTCCTGATTAAACATGGAACACGTAAAACTTTAAACGACTATTTTTTTAAAAACAAGAATTATATTTGCAAAACCGTTATTGTTAAATAATTAATGCCCAGAGTTCAATTTTGGGTTTGTATGTAGAAACCTACATTTTTAACAAAACCTGATTTCTTATTCTAATAATTATTAGCGATTAATACGATGATTTAATTAATACCTGGTTTTTATTCTAATCATTATTCCCAATTTATACGATGATTTAAATAATACCTGATTTTTATTCTAATAATTATTACCGATTTTTATGATGGATATTGTTGGGTTAAATTTGGGCTAACTACACTTCAAAACATTAATAGCCCGCCTACTTTAGAATAGTCTTTTTGGTGCCAAATGTTTATGTCACTGCAAGCAAACGAAGGGAGATAACTGTATATTGAAAAACTAAGCTTTATTTTTAATTTAAGTCTTGCAGTAATATTTTTGCTCTGCGTTTTAATTCTCTCATAAAAAAAAGATCTGTAATATATCATTCCTTTTATTTACGCACACAAGAACATAAAAATACATATATACACGAATATACGATGCCTGCGCAGAATCTATCTATCTATTCTGCATATATAGAAACCAGCTGGGAGGTCATGTTGTAACTTGATCTCTAATCGGAGAGGAACTAATGGTGTAGACATTCAGGGACTTCTGAAAAGTGAATGAAACGCTGGGAAAAAAAAGAAGTCTTTTTAAAGGGTAATGAGTTTATTCCAGTGCCCTACATACACTATACAGTCACTAATAATGACTAACAGGACATTTTTCAGACAGACAAACACACACACACACACAGACAAAACACACACACACACACATATATATATATATATATATATATATATATATATATATATATATATATATATATATATAATTATTTATTTAAAAATATGATTCCAATTCGCGACATAAGAGGTCTCATGTTTCAAAACAAGAGCCGAAAACTTCAATATAATTATTTGAATTAAATTGAGTTAAAGTAAGCTCTGTTCCATCTTCAAGCGAAATTTTTTTTTGGGAATAACGTATTTCTGAAATTTACGTGTTTTAATAATTGAAATAAAAATTTCCATGGTAACAGCTAGGGCGAATTGTTTAAATTGGGTAGGCGTGTGTTGGAAAATCTTTAATCTTGGAATCATATTTTTAAATAAATAATTATATTTATGCTCTACTTCTGTATCGAACACTATTTTTTAAAAATAATAACTAAAATACTAAGGGACTTTGGATTATTTACCTAACCAGTTCCTTCCTATTTTCTATATATTTTCACACACACACACACACACACACACACACATACATATATATATGATCTCTCTACTTTGAATTTTAATGAAAATACATCGACTCATCAATAAACTTGAATGTCAAAACGAAGTAAGTGTTTAGGGTAAAGTAATATTTTATAAGATAGTGTTGCTAGATTATTTATAGATATAATTTTTTAGATTAAATCAAATTTTGAACATCTATCTATCTATATGTATATCTATCGATTTCTCTCTCTCTCTCTCTCTATATATATATATATATATATATATACATACATAATGGACAAAGTCCGACAATTATTTTTTTCAGACATTTCTTATGTTTATACATTCTTTTTATAGATACAAATATTTACGTAAATGCTCTGTTTATAATAAACAGTATTAACAATATTTACCGGCCTGAATGTCAGAAATTTTAATAGAAAATATGCGTCCCCCGACAGGAATCGAACCTTTACCCTATACGAAACCGTCCTATAGCCTGACGTGCCTTAACCGATTGGGCCACAGAGGAGCGTACGGTTAGTCAGGTCGATTCTACTGCTTCGAAACACAATTTTCCATGATTTTCTCTCATATATTCTTATCTGCTCAATGCGTATCCAAATGAAAACAAATGACGTCACACATTATGAAATGGACAAAGTACGACAATTATTTTTAAGACATTTTTTATTTTATATCTATCTATCTATCTATCTATCTATCTATATATATATATATATATATATATATATATATATATATATATATATATATATAGTAAATTTCCTGAATATTTCTGTGGATAAGACAAACTGGTATAAGAATGATAAACTGAGATTTTTTCCAATTCTCATTCCTTTACGAATTTGTGTTATCCACAGAATTATTCGGGAAATTTTACTACTTTGTCGACAGGGGAAAAAAAACTCTTAATATGAAGAAAGTTACCACGGCAACAGGCATACGCAGGAGCGTCTCTATTTTTTAAATTTGGGATTTAATGTAACTATAATAACAAAAGCATCTACCTTTCATTGTTTACCTTGATAAAGTCTGAAGACGAAACGCGTCGGCTAAAACTAAGCTTTTTTTTCCATTTGTCATTCTTATTATATATATATATATATATATATATATATATATATATATATATATATATATATATATATATATATAGAGAGAGAGAGAGAGATTGAAGGTTTAATTTAATTGAACATATTAAATCTATAAATGATCTTGCAAGAATAGCTTATAAAATATTACTCTGCCCTAAACACCTAATGCCGATTATATATATATATATATATATATATATATATATATATATATACATGTGTGTGTGTGTGTACGTCAATGTTACTCTATGATTCTTACTGGTACTATGCAACCCAACGTTGTATTCTTCAGTTATCGATGTCTAAACTTGTTCCAACAGGCTTTTCTCTTGCTGAAGAGGTTGGTTAGACATCTCGCGAGTTTAAGAAGGTACCTTTCTATGGGCGGATAAATTCTTTCATTAGAGCAACGCCCATCTGGAACAGGAACTGATATTTCGAAATACCCGGATTGCTGCCAAGGCAAGCCATTACTGATGTTGGCGTGTTGGAGCCCTTAGACTCCGTTAAAGCATCCAACTAGGAACACTCTGATGTGACACCTGCTGTTTCACGCATCCAATGTTGTCTTTTTTTTTCTTTTTTTTTCTTTCCTTTTTGGATACATGATCTTCTTGTATATAGCGTGGAATTGAATCGGCGCGTCGTGTTTAATCGCTTTAATAATTTCATGCGAATGCATTGCTTGATAATCGTAATATCTAGCGATGATCTTACTCAAAATCACAGCTATGATATATGTGGAATTATAGGCGTTGCCTATTAACTTCCGTTTAGTCAGTCAGAGGGATAATATGCCGGCACACTCATTGAGGATCTAGCCATGAGCAGTAAAAGAAATGGCTAACTTACGATATATATATATATATATATATATATATATATATATATATATATATATATATATATATATATATATATATATATATATATATATATATATATATATATATATATAATATCACATAATCCCGCTTGGGAATACAAGGCCTTGTAAGACTGAATGTGCCTCTAGTGTAGTAGATAACGGCTCAGAATTCGAAATCAGAGACCTGAGTTCAATTCCTGCCGGGTTCATTATTTTCACTTACGCGCAAATATCTTAGAGAAAGGTATGAATCTTGTGCCATACTCAGCTATGCGCTAAATAATATGGCTTGTAACAGTAAATCATTATTATATATTCTGGTTTTAAATAACATGCATAAGGTTGATAAACCGTAAAGAAAACAAAAAAGAAACAAATCAATCAAGCTAGTGAATAAAATCCAGAACAGGGGTAAAACAGATAGTAAAACTCATTTAGAGAAACAAATAGGAAATTGTGAAGAGCCATGACCACTTAGGACTTAAAGAGAATATAAAAAAGCTCATTAAAGGTTACAACATCGTCAGTAATTTAAAGAGTGTTTCATTAAGACGGATCATAGCAGTGAACAAATCAGTGTTATTGGTGAAGATTTATGTATTTCTTTATTGGATCATGTTATTTAGGTCATGGCAATTATGTGTGAAAAATAATATCGCCCAAATGTCCACCAAGGCTTCGGCAGCACACCTCCACTCGATGGTAAAAATTTAGTTGCTCCTCGATCTCACCAATATACCTTATTATCTCATCCTTCAGATGTTGAATTGTTGTTGGCCTGTTGGTATAGACCTTAATTTTGAGATGACTAAATGAGGAATAAATTTAAAACAGTGAAGTCGCACGATCGTGGTTGCCAATTGACTTCGCTGTTTCGAGAGATGATTCGACCTGGGAACTTCTCATTCAAAATCCGTTTGAATGCCTATTTTCGTAATAGGCTTCGATACTTTTAACACATTGTTGGATTGTTAATCTTTCTATGGTTGAAATTGCCAAAGATTTAAGTTGTTAAATCTGAAAGAAAAGAAAAAAAATCATTAGTCAGAGGGATAATATGCCGGGTTCATTATTTTCACTTACGCGCAAATATCCTAGAGAAACGTATGAATCTTGTGCCCTACTCAGCTATTAGTATGAAGACGTCGGCTAAAACGGTTACTGCTATTCACTGTTAATTCACATTTAAAATCGGTCCAAGTTATGGAAACATCCTTCATAATTCTTCTTATAGGAATAAATGTATTGCACAGAACGAGGTTCGAACTCAGGACAAAAGGAAGAGCTTACTAGACTCTATTGTAAACCGCTATTAAGCAGAAGGGCGTTTATCGCTTGTATCTTGCTAATGTAGTTCTACGTCAGCACATATTTTCCTCTTCTTTTTATATTGATTTTAAAGTCGTTTCTACATGCTAACCTCCTTCGTGAATCACTATTTCAGCGTCTTGTTTTCTTTCAAGCCTTATTCAATAACGTTTATTCTCTCCTTGAGGTCATTGCTCTCTTCTGTTACCGCTGATATATAATACTCCTTCCATTATTAATAATGTTAAATACTTTCGTTACTATTTCTTTATTCACTGTTAAACTGCCTCCTCTTCTTTCATTCATCATCATTCCGTTAATATCACTGTTTCAAACTGTTTGAAATCTCATTTCTTTTTCTCTATATCTTACGGATTGTCTTTGCGTATTTCCTTGCATCTTAAGTCTCTCTAAATCTCCTACTGAAAACCTTTCCTTTCATTTCTTTTGTCTATCCTAAATAGACGTCAAATGCTATAAAGCATTCCGTTATTCATTTAAACCTTTTTTTTTTATTTACAACTCCTTTCTGTCTCTCTTCACTAGAATTCTACGTTTCTTCATTGTTCATTATTCATCACCACCCACCCATCGAATTTCCTCCTTGAAATCTATTAAAAGACTCCCTTTTTCTCTTCTATTTCGTTTATATCTTTTTTTTTTTATCAAATCTCCCTCCTTCCCTTTCATTCTCGCTTTTGGCGTTCTCTCTTTTCTTTTTAAGTCCATTTGTATTTCCGAACCGCGTTCGTGATGGCGCGGACAAAATGACACAGAGGTCGAAGTTTTCTTGCCAACTCAAGAAACCCACATTAGGCTTCCAAATTTTCTTCAAACCAAACCGGGCTATTATCGCCAAGGTGCGTGTGATCTTTGTTACTCTCTCCAAGTGTTTCGAGGGTCAGCGGTGAACAGATCTGACGTGGACTTTACAGTCGCTTATACTTAGATGTAATTAGCTTGTCGACAGAAGCAAA